CGCTGTGTTTCGTTGTGAAAGCGAAACTACTTTGTTTGGTCTTCCAAAAGAGGATGATATGGCTTCGTCATGCCTGGAGCTGATCCGTGCTGGTCGCTGAGGAAATACATCAACTTCGCTCTGTGGATCGCCGGATCGCCGGATCGGCTTTCATCGTGGACGAAGCGGAGTCCAGCCCGGGGTCGTCACATGTGGTTACCACAAGCCCGCCGGCCGCTCCTTCGTCAAATCCGCTGGCCGCGCCATTCTCAAGCCCGCTGGCCATTCCTTACTCTAGCCCTCCAGCCGTTCCTCACTCTAGGCCTCCGGCCTCTGCTCACTCAAGCCCGCCATGTGTGACGCTGTGTGTTTCGTTGTGAAAGCGAAACTACTTTGTTCTGTCTCGTCGCGCCGGGAGACGGCATCACAATATGATAAGAGGCGTAACATTTCCGTCACACGCTTGATGTATTCAGCCAATCACAACACACTGGATAGCTGGCCAATCAGAGCACACCTCGCTTTTCAGAACCATGAGCTTTGTAAAAATCGACGTGTTTCAGAAAGGCGGGGCATAGAGGAGAAACAATAATGTACAGTATGTGGAAAATAATGTGTTTTTTGAACCTTAAACCACATAAACACATTTCATTACACCAAATACACAAAATAATGATCTTTTTAGCAACATCATATGACCCCTTTAATAAAATAAAGATCTCTTATAGATTAGTTTTAAATGACAAACAGCTGATTAATGTAAAAGTATTTGCATGTATGACAATTCCCCTGCAGCCTACAATGATTTAAATATATAAATAAAAAAATATGTAAATAACTTAAAGGATGATTAACAAAGAGCTTAAGTTATCTCTCAAAAAGTAGTCTTTTATTTTAGTTGAGTAGTTATAGGTGAAATATACTTCATCTCTGTTTGTTCTCTGTGTTCTTAAGTAGGCTATGTCCAGTGTTGGGAAGGTTACTTTGGAAATGTAGGTTACAGATTACAAGTTACCCTATATTTAAATGTAATAAGTAGTGTAACTATTTAAATTACTTTATTAAAGTAATGTAACTAATTAAATTTGATCATTTTTTGATTACTTTTCTACATTTCTAATGAATGTTTTCAGCTGTTAATCATTTTCAAACATTTAAACCAGGCAGGGTTAACCTTACAGTCGTACTAAATGCTGATTACTGTCAGACTTTCAAAATCCTCAAAAATCCACTTGAATTAAGATTATAAAAAATTTAATTGTATAGCACAGCCACCAAAATCAGACTTTAGCACCTCTTTTTTACTTTGAGGTCGTTCTGAGGTTAAATACAGATTTAAAATCATCAGATATAGTTTAATAGCTATGATACTGTTTTTGAAATCTTTGCATATGAAATATGCCAGGAAACACTGGCACCTAACAATGCCTTGGAAAAAAACAGTTAATCTTAAAAAAATCAAGCATATAGGCTACATCAACCCAAATAGTAAATAAAACAGTTATCAAATAAGCATGTGTCCTATTCTGTGTCTTAAACTCCTGAAACATTGATGTCTCATTTAGAGCTGTCAAAGCATTTTTGGAAAGAAATCAATTAAATCTGTGTGTGTGTGTGTGTGTGTGTGTGTGTGTGTGTGTGTGTGTGTGTGTGTGTGTGATATTCAGACGTAACCCCTTTTGTAATCGTAAACATTTTCATTAGTAGCCTAACTGTAATTTAATTACACATTTTTTATCAGTAGACTAACTGTAACAGATTATAGTTATATTTATTTTGTAATTAAATTACGTAACTCCGTTACATGTAACTAGTTACTCCCCAACACTGGCTAGGTCGATATTGTACTACAAATGATTCAGTTAGAAAACAGCGGTCCAAACGAATAGAACCGAATCGCAAATCGATTCGGCCAATTCATTGAAAAGAACCGACTCATGCACCACAGCACCCCTGAACGAACCGCACAAATGTGTCTGTGTTCGTTTCTCACCCGGATTGGGACGCAGTGCAAATTTTGCACTCCACTCAGACCCTTATGACTTTGTGTAATATCACTCATTACTGTTACATTAATGAAAGGAGGAAAAAAGTAAATGAAACAAACATTTTCCCTGTGCCCTTATGTGTAGCTATAAAACATTCAAAATCTAATTCCAGTAAAAAAAATAAAAAATAAAAAACTAAACATTTCGTTAAAATAATAATTTGCAATACTTACAAAAAAAAAAAAATAATAAAAAAAATGAAAGAAAATTAAGAAAACATTAAAAACATTGAAATAAAACAATCCATTTACCTTTCCGACGTGATGGTGTACATTTTTGCGCCGTTGTCCAAGGCAAAACGGATCTTTTCTGGATCATTTTTGACCATGGTTTTAGTTTTCCTTCACTTCACTTATTTATCAAACGTTTAAAATATGGGTTATTCCTATCTGAAATGCTAAAATAACGACAATAAATCATAAAAAAGGCGTTAAACTCTTCCTGTCACAGTGCCTGCATCATCTTCAGGAGGTAAAGCGCCGATATCTGAGGCTCAGTGCAAAAGCGCTGTTATTTGAAGCCTTGTGACTGCGAACCGTGTGCAAACAGTTTCTGATTAAACTATGGTGTTTTTCTTATACAAACCACAATAGCATCCTTTAGGATCATTCAATCTGGAGATATAGTGGAGGACAATAACTCGACCATTTACATGAATGAAGTAAACTATTTTTGAACTAAAACTTTCTCCAAGCTGCTGTGGTAAATGTTACAATTGTTATTTGTAACTTTAAAATGTGATTATACCAAGAGTACAGGAACCAAATATTACAATTTTAACCCGTCTTGTATAATATGCAGGAGGTATAAGTCTTAATATTTGGAGCTCACAGAAAAAGCGGATTTATCTGAAGCCTTGTGACTGTGAACCGTGTGCAAACTTTCAGGCTGCTTGCAACTCCAGACTGTGATGATTGACACTCAAAGAGCCCAAGAAAACTGACCTTTTGCAGAGACAATCAGTTAACACGTCCTTGAAGAGCTCCTGCGCATTCAGTAAGTTGATTAGGTTTAAATGTTTGACTAATTTAATCACTTTAATAGGCTACATTGTATTTTCCAAAAAAGTCACAAAGACCATTCAAATTATTAATTTGATGCCAGTCCTGAAGGATACTAATGGAAATTTCACATCACATGACAAAAAAACATAATTGAATACATAATTCTCAATGTCTTACCCTCCCAATACCTTTAAAACACAAGGAATTTTAAGAAAAAAAAACTTCTCTTAAGAAAATGCTTAAGAAACTGTCCAGTAGCAAGACACTTTTTAGGAGACAAAATGCAAAACACGTCCAGACGATCCTCTTTCAACAGCATAGTGAGAATGTGGATTAAAATGCAGTTTGTGAAAACATACATGCTCCTTTTCACTTTTATTACACTCATAGAATAACAAGTAAACGGATGATTTTATTCTTTGCCTTCAGCTTTATTTGGCTCAGACCAACACATTACTTACAAAGGCTGATGTTAAAATGTACACTTGCACTAAATAAGTTAAAAGTTGTGGTTTCACAGGCAATGAGTGGCCCCTTCGGATCCTAGGAAATGGCTGTAACTAGTAGTTTGATTCTTTTCATCACAGATGACCAATGAGGGAGAGACCATACAGTAAAACGCACATAAACACTAATGCTTCAACCAACAAACCCATAGGGACAATGAACAATTTCATCATCTTTACCAAAGCACTGTTTCTAGATGAAAAAGGGGACAAGATGACAGATAACATATTTGAATTTGTTTGATCAATGGTGTGAACGACCGCTGACCTTTTGAGGCATCTGAAATTGTGATTCAGAGAGGTTTACTTCTTGGTCATGATTCCATAATTACAATGAAATAAACCTAAAGAGATTCAAATATGAATATTACAAGGTATACTCTACTATTGGAGCAATGTATGCTGGTAAGCACAAACCCGAAAGGGAAAACATCTCTTTGCTCACTGCAAAGCTCTTATAACTACATTAACTATAGCACATGTAACCTTCAGTTTACAAAAGGGGTCCGTTGATATGACTGCCGCACTAAAATACCGCAGCTGATTATAAGATGCTGCACTGAAATGAATATTCACTGCAAAAATAGAAAAATAACATCACCACAAATCTGGAGATCTGAAGTACTATCAAATGAGTAAGAGAGGAGCTGGAGAGAAACCTACAGACTGAAGAACAGATGGGTATTATCAAACCAAACTGCCATATAATGTCTGTTTGTTAAGCAATTTACCATTGCAGATGTTTATCTGTTGAGTAGGACGTCTATTTTAAAATTTGGTGACTTGCTTTTATGGAAGCTTCCAAAACAAAGCAATAAAAAAGGAAAAAATCAGAAGTTGTTCTACTGACTCATCTTGTTTTTCAAGAACAACGTCTATCGTTTAAATGACTGCATTGATTCCAATGCACTTGAATGTGGGTGATCAGATGTCCTCTTTTTCCCAGACATACTGGCCAGGATGTCTAAATGGCCTAAAACAGCTAAATTTTGGCTTTATTTTCCTATTGACATGCTCTTTACAGTCCTCACACGTGTATTTGCACTGCTTTGACTATTTTCTGTAGTTCTCACCTTGGTCGATTATGTACAATGCCTGCACAATGAGAGCAAGTCAATAAGAAAAGCAAGCCAAAACCCCGACATTTTAGGCAATTTAGGAATCCCAGCCAGGACGTGTCCAGAATGGTCACCCTACTCGAACAATACTTTTTCCATTACAATGGGGAACAATGAATTCAAGTGATGGTGCTCATCAGTGAAACACTCAGGCAGCCATGGACTGCATATTGGGCACATCCACTAACAGTATAGTGGCTATGTGATGTCAACTCTTAGAAAATAAAAAAGAAAGCCAGAGGACCAGGAGAGAGGTGATGGGGTGAGAGTCCAGCTCAATCAGAGGGGCTATAAAGATCGCCGGAGGAGGGCAGGCGAACATGGCCACCTGAAACATTAGGGAGCCTAGAGAGGTCTGGGAGACTGCTGAGACGAGAACGCAGCTCCTTCCGTACCTGGGACACCCGGGCCAATTTGCGCTTGTATTCCTAAAATAAAAACATGCAAACAACCTAGTTAGTGCAGAAATATAACTGGCAGTATATTTGTAAAATAAAAATGTACAATGACAAAATATAGAATTAAACATTTTATTAAATCAAAAATATAATGCAATTAAATCAAATTAATTTAATTTAAAAAAACATTTTTTAATGAAAATGTTTTTATATATTAAAGATAAGGCTCTTTAAGTGCAACAAGTCTAACTGTTTTTGGAATTTATTAAATTTAATGAACTGTTTAGTTCCGATACGCAAAGTGTGTTATTACATCACTTTGTTTCAGTTCTCAGTATCCCTTTCAGAAACACGCAGCAGCTGTTACCATTTACAATGAGTACACATACATTAAAACAATATTGTCTGCTGTTATTTAAAGCATTTTAAACATTTATATATGTAAAACAGCTTAGATAACATCCAGAAGTTTCTAGTCATTACATTTTGTATGATATATATATGACTTTCATATATATTATATGGATATATTTCAGTATTAGTGAACCTCTGTGATTGTGCCAAAGGCTTAAGTTCTTGACATTTGTGTTTCCTAACAACTGTTTTACAATACTAATGTTTAATTTACATCATTAACAAAGTTTAGGAATGTTATTCTGTTCCATCATGTAAAATTAAGTACATAAATGTTTTAAAAGTTACTTCTCTTCAACTTGCCTACACATTTAATTAAACACTAGAATGTTTACTATTGTAAAGAATTAGAAAAGAATCTCAGAACTAGTTTTAAATCATGATTTAAATTTTAATTTACAACAAAATCTTTTTCAACTATAATACATGTCTGTCAGATAGACAATGTTATAAATAAGACTAAGACTGTGCCTTTGTATATAGTTAATGTTTGTTCTACTACAACATAAAGTAAACTATACATAGCACAGACTTTAAACGGAAATGAAATATGGACTACACTGATGCAATGACAGGATAACTATAACTATTTTCTAACCTTTAAGAGTGCAATCAGACTTTAAGGAGTTCAGCTGAAAGCTTAACTTAAAACCAATATATAAATGCATGAACTATGCTTATAAAAACGATCTTTTCAGATGTTTACTTTCATATTTTTATTTCTAGATGATGAACTGTGTATAAAAGGTTTAATTTAAATAAAAATTCTATAGATTAACCAACACATTTGGCATTATGAACTAACAACAAACAATCTTTTACAAGCATTTGGTAATCAGCATTTGTAAACATGCTATTGTTCTTTAGTTAATACATTTTGAACTAACAATGTTAATATTAACCAAGAATAATAAATGCTGCAAAGGTGTTCATTGTTTAAATCATGTTAACTATAGTAGAACTAAAGTGTTACAGAATAACCACAGCCAGTTTCTTAAGTTATTTCACTCAATAAGGATGTATTTGTGAAAGCCAGTGCATAAGCAAAAAAGATGCACACTCAAGAGATTGGTGTTTTTTTCTTTTATTTTTATTTATTGTGTAAAGGTGACATCAGGTGGAACACTGGAACCTGCTCACTACCTGTTGGCAAAGGCTAGAAAATGAAGCAGTTAATGTCCATAAAACTTTTTACGAGAACTTAGTGTTTATACTTACCAGACCAATAATACAAGTCTCATGCATAGGAATTAAAAGTTAAGAGATATCTAGGGCTGCATTAGCTAAAATTACTTGATACTGGAGTTTCACTGCCCTCCATGGGCAAAACAAACCCAAATATGAAGCAACCACATGCAGCTATGATCACAGTGACAACATGAACATAAGTATAAATGAAAGAAGAGAAGAAAGAAACTGACATGTAAAGACAGCAACTAAGGATAAAAAAAGAAAAGGAAAGAAAATGTGAAGTCAGTAAGTTTACCCACTTCTAGTTTCTGCTCATTCTGGGCCAGGCCGTCTCTCTGACTCTGCAAAAAGACAGCAAGCGTGCGTGTGAGCTGCCGCCGATCATCAATCTCTGCCGCCAGCCGCCCGCTGTAGTCAGCTAGAAGCATGCAGGCCTCTTCCACCAACCGAGAAAGACGCTCCCCTGACTCTTTATCTGAAAAAATACAATCAGGACAGACTTAGACTGTCAGAATGGTTAACTACATATGATTTTTTAAGCTTTCTGTATAGTACTGCAGAGATTAAGTATTTTTGTAGGTCAAAACCCAGATACAAGTTAGCTTTTTTTTGTTGAGGGAATCAGAGTCATGCTAACTTTTGGGTTGGCCTAAAAAAAATGTCATCACTGCAACACTCTATTAAACGGTTAGTTCACAAAAAATGAAAATTCTGTCATTAATTACTCACCTTCATGCGAGTAATTAATGACAGAATTTTCATTTTTGGGTGAACTAACACTTTAATATCAGATGAGTTTCAGTCTATAAGTTAATTAAGCCTATATAAATTAAATCACTGCTTATCAAGTACCAATCTCCAGTGTGCAGTGTTGCCATAATTAAGCTTAAGTTGCAGGTGTTTTCTGTGAGAACTGTGGTCATTTGTGCAATAAAAATGAGTTTTTTCATCTACACATGCAGACAGACACACTTTGCTGTTGCGTAACATTTCATGCTATGAACACTGTATTTGTCAAGTTAAAGAAAATCTGGGGACCCCAGCGTTCTGTTCCAATTGAGCAATTACATTCTGTGCTCTAATGTGCTGACACCATGAAATATCAATTCAAAATTTGATTTTTAATTAATTCTGTTTCTGTTGCATTTACTTAGTTCTGTCATTCTGTTGTTCTCACCTGTAACTTTGTGCAAAAGGGAGGTGTCCTGCACCTCTGGGGGTAGAGCAGAGATCCTCTGGCGGAGAGCTGCGTCACTGGAGGCTGCGTTCTCAAGCTCCTGTAGTGCTCGGATCAGATCTGCAGTCTGAGATAGGGATGCAACGATTATAGATTTTGTTGGTACGATTATTGTCGGAGGAATAATCACGGTTTTACGATTATGACAATTATTATGCATTTATTCATTTCCCAACATTACTAATGTATAAAAATCACAAGAACACTTTTTAGATATTAAAGTGTTATTTATTGCTGGCTTTTGAAACAGAAATAACACAGTAACCAACAATACAGCACAAAATAATAATAAACAAAAGACAAACAAAAGTCCAAACAAGACCGTGAGGTCATCCACGAATTTAAAAAAGGTGACCTCTGCTCTGTAAACATCCATGACAGTATTTCTCTTTTGAAAATAACAAATGGAAATAGATCACAAAAGTATTTAATGTTTTCAGTTTGTACATTCTTTACATTTCTTTTGGACCTGGGGTTTTCTGGGAATTTGGAAACATGGTGAAAAAAAAATCTTGTTGGTTTTTCTTATGAATAATACTACAACAGGGATAGTAAATAAAGTTTATAAAGTAGCCTATTATTAATATACGACTAATATTAACTTTATTTGTCCCACAGGGGAAACTGTTACTAATGATGGAAATAAACTGAAATATTATTGTAATCAACTGTCATCCATACATATTCATTTTAATAATCTTTATAATAATTCATATGATTTTACATGTGGCCTGAGAAAACCATGTCTATTATTTTGGTTTGTGAGATCGGAGATTGCACTGCGCACGTGTACAAACATTCAGGAGGACACAAATTTCTTGAGAATGCTGCCCCGTGACTTTTATTAATAAAATAGATTAAATAGCCTACTGGAGAGACGCACAGACGCAGGTAGGCTAATTCACACAGGCAACTGTCACCTCTCTCTCGCTCTCGAATAATTAATTCAAGTAGCTAAATGTTATAATTAATTAATTCAAATAAATGTGATCTTACCGCACTATTTCATCTCTTTCTGATCTGAAGCGGGCAGAATGCTGAGCTAACGAGCTGTAGCTTTGCGTCAGGTGGTTCTTGCCTTCATCTTTCCTTCACGTTGTGCATTAAAATCGTTCAATGTACAGCTAGCCGTGCATTATCCCTTATGTATTCGCTCTATAAGTGTCTTTGCAAGTACGTCAACTTATTCTACCATACTACTCTACCATTCTTGAGCATACTAATACTCTAATGAGAGTTAGCTGGCATGTAGTTGCAAAGTTTCTTATAGTCGATTGATTAAGGGGACCATCAAAATAAAATGTAACCATATAAAACATTGCATTTTTTTCAGTTGGACTATACAGCTCACATCAATTAATTAACATTAG